TTTTAAGTCTTTTGTCATTTACAGACAGTTATTGTTTTACTCTATGATGTTTTTGTTTCATTCTCACAGAAATTCATGTCAAGGATTCTGACATTATAGAATGTCAGGCTTCTGATAAACTTTCAGATCATAAAACTGAACTGGGTAAGAAATTACAGAACTCTAATGGAGAGACCGATGGCTTCATAAAACTACTAACAAAAGATCAAGAACAAATAATTACATGCGACTACATGAACTGAGAAGGATGCTCTAATGCTTTGTTTTTCCAGATTTAAAGAAATCTTTACTCTTAAGCTATCAATAATTTGGTAAGATATACCCTTGCGAACAAAGATAAAACATTTACTTTTTCTTTCTACCTGGCCCCTCTAGAATTCAGATACCCTCAGGAATTGTCTCCTGGTTCAGGTCTATGCTCCAATTTGGACTTAGCATTTTATTTATTATTATAGGAATTCTCACTATTGTAAAACTTTGTCTCTTCTGCATAGCTCCATGTTACAAAAACACCACTCAGATTATGGTTGCTCAGTGCTTTAAAATGATTGCTAAGGCTTATGAACCTTCACCTGAGAAACTTCAAGGAACTATAGGCAATGTTTGCCCTTAAAGGAACCTGATGGTAAGGCTTTTCTGTATTCTGGCACTCTTGTTGCTCAAATGTGGCCTAAGGCTCCTAATGAAACCACTTTCCCTGCTAGGTGGGACATGACATACCAGCAATGAGCCTTCCTGGTGACAAGGGACCAACAATGCATTGATGGCTGATCAGCAAGGCTTTCTAATAGCCGATCAGCAATGTTTTCAAATGGTTGATCAGAATGTTTTCAAAGAAAGATCACGATCAAAATGGAGAAATGTCAAAATTGACTCTAGTGGAGCCATTTTAAAATGGAGTTGGGGCTGGCCCCGTGGCTTAGCGGTTAAGTATGCGCGCTCTGCTGCTGGCGGCCCGGGTTCGGATCCCGGGCGTGCACCGATGCACCGCTTCTCCGGCCATGCTGAGGCCGCGCCCCACATACAGCAACTAGCAGGATGCGCAGCTATGACATACAACTATCAACTGGGGCTTTGGGGGAAAAATAAATAAATAAAAATAAAAATAAAATAAAATGGAGTTGGAGCTGGCTCTCCAGAGAAACCTCCTTGCTGTCTTGAACCTTGGACTGGGCCAAACCTTTGGACTGGGCCAAACCGGCAGTAGATTTACAAGTAATTGTTTGAGACGTCAGCAGGAGAATGGACATCCTTGTCACAAAGACTGAGGATTGTGGACCTTCTGAAGATAGAATCAAAAGTCAATGTTTAGCCAAGACTAGCTCTCTGCCTCCAACTCCAATCAAAACTCTTTGTACTACAACCTCCCTTCTGTGCCTTTAAAAACCCCTGATTTTTACTCCCTAGTAGGACACTTTTTGGGTTTCTACCTGAATCTGTGCTCTCCAAATTGCAATTCTTTGATCCCAAATAAACGCTTTACATCTTAAACTGGTTTCTGCTTCTGCAGGTTAACAAGTTCATAGTTCAGTAAAGTAAATGCTAAACTTATTTCTTAAAATCTATACTTCTCATTTTCTTTTAAGACGTTATTTGAGATAAGAAACTTATCATCTAGTCCACAACCAGGTGCAGAGACACTGCTCAACAGATGTGCTGTTCAAGCAGACGTTTTAAATTGTGGGAACAAATGTTTGCTGTTTTTGCCTTTTTTTTTTCTTTTTATTTGTCCCCGAGACAAGATCATTACAAGACTTAACTGAAAGTTTGATTGCCCTGCTTGCCTTATGTCAATTGTCAATACAGAATAAATAAAAAGTAATCAAAATGTTTTTTATGGCTACAAAAATAAAAAAAGAGTTATGAAAGAGTGTTGCCCTTGAAAATAACTCCTGTTTAAGACACCAATAGCCTTCTAGTGTGGGAAACTTTCTAAACTAATTTTGTTAGCTATATCTTATCATCTTTATTTGGTACTGATATTTTATATCCCACAAATGTGACTCAGGAAATACTTATTAATGTGGAGCCAGGGCTTCAATCTTTAAGAAAAGATTTACACAATTTAAAATGATGACACATTTCATTCCGGGCAGGATCATATCTTTTTAGATTGTCCTGGTTGAAGCCTGATTTAATCCAAAGTTTAAAAAGAGAAGGAGGTATATTTCTTTTATATAACAAAGTCTTCCCCCTTCTTTTCTGGCTGCCCCTTCTCATAGAAGCTCTAACTCAAACCTCAGTTCCTTGACTCTTGGAGCTAAAGTCACCCTCTCCAGTCCTCAAGTCCCTCACTACCCCATCGCCTTCTTTCTCCTTCAAAGCTCCGATCACCACCTGCACTGATATCATTTACATTGCTAGTCAGTTTCCCATTGCCTGCATTCCCCTCTTACAGAGCTCCCTGAGGGCAGGGACTTTTCTTGATCACCCGTTTTCCCAGCGGCTAAAACACAACCTGGTAAACATCAGGCACTCAATAAATGACTGAATAGACCAGACCAAGGCTTCCATTTCTTGAGTAGATGTCTTAGATTAGGTTGCCCCAGAAGTCAACTCTGAGAGAAGGATGTAAATGAAAGTAATTTCTAAAAGGGCTTATTAGGGAGCTTATCAGGAGCCCCAGTAGGGAAGGAAAGGCAGGAATAGCAGAAAGGGAGCCATCAAGGATGTGTTTTCACGCCGTTTATTGTGGGCAGTTGGGCTGCAAACCTGCCGAGGATCTCCGGAGACAGTGTAGAGCTTGTTGCAGGGTCACCCCACCCAAGGGGTGAAGGGGCTGGACTCCTGCCAGCTCTTGGTTGCCGGCTGCTCCTGGGGGCTATGAACACTTCCAGCTTGCATGGCCCACAGGCAGTCCAGAGCAAGTCTTCAGTCAAAGACTCGCAGTGCTTGCAGTCCGAAACCTTGTGGTTGGCACACAGCAGCTACCTTAGGCAAAGCTGATGACTGGGGAGGAGGGTCAGGAGGAACCTGCACCAGGGCCCCAGTATGCTGGGAAGACCACCCTCCCAGGCAGGCATGGTGTGGGGCAGCAAGCAGGGCAGGGGCAGGCTGGCCTATACTCCATTCCTCTCCCGGCTTGGCATTTGGTTTGTGTCTTCCCCAGGGTTCTGTACAATTGGGGGGGGAGAGGGTGGAAAGATACCTCAAGTGAGAGTCTCTGAATTTCCTGTGATGTTACTTATACTGCAGGTTCATGGAGACATTTATGTAAGTTATAGCAGTTTATTTGAAATCAAATATTTTTTAGTATATTATTTCCCTATTTATCCTAGTAAAATTGTTTTTGTGTAACACAGAAATTTTCAACTTTCTCTAGTCTAATCTCTTGATCTTTTCCTTGTAATTTCTTTTATCCTTTCAAAATCCAGAAAATAAGAACCCAACTTAATGATATTTTTTGCTGGTATTTTATCATAAATATGTTTAAAGGTAGATCCCAGTTTAGAGTTTATATATTTTTAAGACACACATAGCTCAATTTCATACTTAAACATGAGCTCATACATCTTTTGCAAGGTTGAGGAAATAATATATATTTCTTAATATTTTTCCAAAATCCCAGTAAATTATTATTGCAACAAATAGCTATTATCTATTACATTCAAAACATCATGATAAATGCTTTAAGGATACAAATAAGAATCAGATGAGAATATCCCTCCACAAGGAGTCTTTAGCTGAGTAAGACATAGGATATGAATTAAAGTTCTATCTAAATTACACTCATCATAATGTACATCCTCACGAACGTAAGTCTAAAATTATCATCCCTGAAGTCAGACCAATTTTTCTTTCTTTTAGTTTATTCTTTTAAGTGCACAGTTCAGTGGTTTTAGTATATTTGCAAAGTTGTACACTATCACCAATAATATCTAATTCCAGAATATTTTCACCACCCAAAAAGAAACCCAAACCCATTAGCAATCACTTCCCATTCTCCTCTCCCCCAGCCCACTAATCTACTCTGTCTATAGATTTGTTTATTCTGGAAATTTCGTACGAATGGAATCATATAATATGCGGCCTTTTGTGTCTGGCTTTTTTCACCCAGCATAATGTTTTCAAGGATCATTCATGATACAGCATGTATCAGTACTTCATTTCTTTTTTTTCATTTAAAATTAAAAATTTATTCAGATGTAATTTACATACCATAAAACTCACCCTTTAAAAGTATATAATTCAGTGGTTTTTAATATACCCACAAAGTTGTATAATCAGATATTTTCATAAATCCAGAAAGAAACCACACTCATTAGTAGTCTTCATTCCTTTTTATGGCCAAATAATATTCCACTGTATGGGGATACTACACTTTCTTTAACCACTCATCAGTTGATGGACATATGGGTTATTTATATTTTTTGGCTATTCCGAATAATGCTTCTATGAACATACATATATACATTTTGATACAGACGTATTTTTCAATTCTCTTGGGTAAATACCTAGGGAGTGGAATTGCTGGGGCATATGGTAACTCTATGTTTAACATTTTGAGGAACTGTTGCACTGTTTTCCCAAGTGGCTGCACCATTTTACATTTCCACCAGCAGTGGATGAGGGTTCCAGTTTCTCTACATCCTTGCCAACACTTGTTATTGTCTATTTTTTTTATTATAGCCACTCTAGTGGGTATGAAGTTGTATCTCATTGTGTTTTTGATTTATATTTCCCTAATGACTAGTGATGTTGAGCATATTTACTTGTGCTTATTGGCCATTTGTATATGTTATCTTGCTCGCCAATTTTTGAGTCCTATGGCCCACTGGGGTTTTAAGTGTATAATATAATTTGTACACTCTGCCTACAAGTCTAGGTTTGAATTAGAATGTCTAAATGGATCCTGAAACTTAGAACTTAAAATAATGGAAAATTTGCTCTGCCATGCCTTTCAAGGGATTTATAATTGATTTATCATTGAAAACTAGTATGCAAAAATTCCCCAAATATCCAGTTTATCAAAACAAACACACAAAACTCCTAAGTCCTACCTTTTTGACCATCGGTAGCAGGCTCTTCCCTGACCACAGCAATTCAAGCCTGGTATTCTGTGTCCCCCGGATCTTTTCATTATCATACCTTCTCTGAAAGAGACATCAAGTTAATCCATCAGGTCAGATTTCCAGCTCACACTTAGCTGATACAGCCTGACAACGTGGGACGAAATAAACTATTTTATTCTTACATGATTTTCCTCTTCACTCTTTCTTCCCTCACTCTCAAATAGCTCAATGTCATATTTGCAAGGCTGAGTACTCTAGTAGCTAATCTTTGAAAGCACCTGGTCAGATGCAGGCCTGTTGGCATTGGGGGCAGTAAAATTCTGTTGTGCACACTGCAGGACCTTAAGCATCCTGGCTTCTGGCTCTAAATGCTGTGTGTTCCCTCCAGTCATTGTGACAGCCAGAAAAAGATCCCACACATTGCTAAATGCCTGCAGGGGGATGGCCCAGCTCCTGTTGAGACCCCTGGAGGTGCTCAGCCACAGATTCCAGGGTATTTCTGCAGCCCTGTACCTACAGTTCTAGGACCAAGCCATGCCAAAGGAAGGAGAGCAAAGCTACCAGCTTTGAAAAGAGAAATATCTTGATTTTGAAAGATGTGAAAAAAAAGAACAATAATAATGGCTAAACAAAAGAAAAAATTTAAAACAACTACTATCAGTGCTCTTTACTAAAATAGTTAAGCTTATTATAATATCAAGCTCTCATATTGTAAAGGAAAGCAATCCTTAAGTAAATTTCAGTCTTGTTACATAGTATTACACATAGTATTACACAGTATTATTTTTAGTCATGAAAATGAGTGATAAACGGCTAACTTTTATAAGTGATTAGAAGAAGGGATCTTGTATAGTTGATCTTTTTAAATTGAGATATAATTGACATATAACATTATATTAGTTTCAGCTGTACAACATATTGATTCAATACTTGTATATATTGTGAAATGATCATCACAATCAGTCTAGTTAACACCCACCACCACATGTAGTTACAAATTTTTTTTCTTGTGATGAGAATTTTTAAGATTTACTCTCTTAGCAACTTTCAAATATACAATATAGTATACTTGATTTTTAATGCATTCTCCTACACATCATATTTACTACCTGTATTAAACATTCCTACTGTTGGGTTAGAGAAAATCTGTGCTGCAAGCACATGAGAAAGAGGGTGGAGCAGTTGCTACCCTTGTTTAATATGGCAAGATACTCTGTTTTGTATAAATACATCGCCTCAGTTGCTCTGACTGTCAGGGAGGAGAGAAGCTAGCAGGAAAGCCAGGTGAGCTCCACCACCACCGCATGCCGATAAAGCAAAAGATAAAGCTCATCAACATTCACACTTCTCTTTAAAGATCCAACACTGGAACTTACATGCCCTTTGGTCCCAAATCATGGATGAAAGACAGCTGGCTTATATCAAGGAATTCTGTCTGAAAAGAGGCCAAAAATCCATACTTTAGAAAGTCAGGAAAAAAAAGAAATTTATGCATTCAAAAAACCACAGGTGAGATACTGCTACGTGTAAATATTTTTGGGGTACTCTACAGACGACACAGAGCAATAACAATGGTATTGCCCTGAAAGAGTACAGATCAGAATTATATCCATAATTAAAGCACAACCAAGAAAGTGATGTGTGCTCTAAGATGTAGAGACAAAATGCTCAAGAAGGTCGTGGAGAGAGAATTTACTCCCAAAATTCTTCTGTGTTTGTTTTTGTTGTTGGGGAAGGGGGATTGTGTAGCCTAGTGTACATACAAATAATAAAAGATTGTGTGAAGTGGGTGATGTTGGTGCCAGGTTCTGGAAGGTGGACTGGACTTGGCATGTGGCAATGGGAGATGAAGGGGTAAATAGACCAGGAAAGGTGTAAGAACGTTATAGGACGTACAGTTGGGTTAGAGTGAGTAAGATGAAGGACAGTAATGGAAAATGAAATGGCAAAGTAGGTTGAGGGGAGATTCGGGAGGTCTTTGAACATCAAGAGTACCAGAATATTCTAACACAAACTAATAATAATATTATGTAATTATAATATAGAAATAATTCTACTTTAGTGAGTAGAAGAGAAAGAGAACTTCAGGCCCACTTTCACTGTATAGATTATGAGAAGATTAAAAACTATAAATATTATAGTAACAACATCAATGGCTAACATTTACTGAATGCTTAATATCTGTTGGCTCTGTACTAAGCATTTTTCGCACATTATTTTAAACCTCTTTGAAATAGGTGTTATTTTTCACATTGTACAGAAGAGGAAACTGAAGTTTAGAGCAGAAGTAAGCAAACTTTCTCTGCAAAGCGTCAGATAGTAAATATTTTAGGCTTTGTGGACCATATAGTTAAACTACTGTAGCAAGAAAGCAGCCATAGACAATACGTAAATGAATAAGCACGGCTGTATTCTAATAAAATTTTATTTATGCATACTAAAATATGAATTCAATACATTTTTTATGTCATGAAATATTATTCTTCTTTTGATTTTTTTTCCAATCATTTAAAAATGTAAAAACTATTCTTAGCTCACAGACCATACAAAACAAGTTGTGGGCTGGATTTGGTCTGTGGGCCATAGTTTACCAACCCCTGACTTGGAGAAGTTAAGTAAATTGTCTGAGATAACATAATTAGCAAGGGGAAGAATCAGAAGCAGGTCAGACCAGTCAGTATCCTCAAAACCAAGCTGCAAAAGCAAAAAGTCATTCAAAGTCATATCTTACTCAAATTGGGCACCTTTATTCTAGCAAGGTGAGTGCTAGATGAAAACGTGGAGGCATAGAGGGGAAAACCAACGAACATGATGTCATTCTTAGCATATGCAGGAGTTTTATCTTGTGTATTTCTTGAAACAACTAGAGTTAGACATTATTTCATTCCCAAATTACAGAATTTTCTTTAAAAGCAGCTACAGTAAGCCCAGTTCCGCCAATGGTCATAGACCATGTCAAGAACAGCCTTAATAGAAAAATTAAAGGCAAAAAAGATATGTTCCTGGCATCAGGAAGCAGAGGGGAGACCAGACATGGGAAACACTCCACATCAACAAAGTTCTGTGGGAAGAACCTAACAGTTACTGTGAAAGTAGTTACAGAGTTACAGAGGGAAGGTGACCACTGCCCAGCTGATGTGACATCTCAGAGGAAATGGCATTTGATCTGGGCTTATAAATGGGATTAATAAAATGAAACATAACAGTTTTCCTTTAAAGTTTTGCATATGTGATTGGAAATACTTAATCTTAACCTGTAAAAAAAAATTACAAATCTCTCAGACCTATCAGTCCTTGTGAGGTCCAATTAAATGCTTGCATATCTTTCTTAGGGTTATTTGAGGAAGTATTTAAAAGTCAGAAGGACTTTTAAAACTGCAAATCAAACATATCCTCACATAGCATTTTTTAATAAGAATTTTAAAAGCCAAGGCCTTTACATTTTATTTCTTGTATGAAACATGGTGATTCAGTACCATGGATTTTTTCTTTTTCTTTTTTTTGATGAGGAAGATCAGCCCTCAGCTAACATCCATGCCAATCCTCCTCTTTTTGCTGAGGAAGATCGGCCCTGAGCTAACATCCGAGCTGATCTTCCTTCACTTTATGTGGGACGCCGCCACAGCACGGCCTGACAAGCAGTGCGTCGGTGCGCGCCCGGGATCCGAACCCGGGCTGCCAGCAGTGGAACGTGCGCGCTTAACCTCTACGCCATGGGGCTGGCCCCAGTACCATGCATTCTTTATCTGATTTGTGGAAATGCTTTCTAACTGGAAAATGCATAGATTATTAGAAGTGACACTGCAGACTTTGAACCATAGAATCCAAAATGTTTTAAAATCCTAAGCCACAACTTCTCATTTTATCTCGGGGGAGCAGAGAGAAAATGTCAATCCTAGTTTACACTGGAAGAAACTACTACAGAGGTGTAACTAATTTATGCAAAGTCACAGAACAGGTGAATGAAAAAACAGGAAATGAAAAGCAAAAATCAAGGAAATCACTTATCTAACACCCGGATATTTTCTTATTCACATAGCTCTTATCATCAAATAGTTGACAACAGAAATATTCCTTGAAATAATTCAGAAATCATAACTTTAGAATAACATAACAAAATTGCTAAAAGTAAAGAATTTCATCTAAATAAAAGAAGTATACATCAGCAACGCAGAAAATTTTAAGTTGCGTATTAATATGAAATTTAAATTTATCCTAATGGTTTAGTAGAATTTGACTAAAGAAGAGAGTTAAAGAAAGAACTAGCCCTATTATAGAGGAAAAAAAGGTCTCTCGCAATAAACATTTTAATACAGATTTATTGGATTGAAAGTAAATGTGCCAAGGTCAATTTAGAAGCAAATCTAAATAATACAATTAAAATTTAAGAAGAATGTGCTGTCCAAACGTCTCAGTGCATCTTCAGTGATAAGAATTCCATTCTCCATTCGGGCAGATGATTCTCAGGAATAAAAATTTAATGAGCAATTTAGTCTGACAATATTCCATAGGGCTTATTGATCTCTTGAATAATGTACTAATCAATATCTTTTTTTCCAAAGGAACTTGTGAAAAGTACAACTAAATGTTAGGGAAACAGGGAAGCAAAGGGCTCTCATGCCAACGGACAAGCAACAAACCCTAGAAATTACTTGGCAATCACATACGCACTGCTTCTCTACTCATCTTGTATCAGAAGAGAAGGGGGATGGTCAGAGGCCCCTTTATTCCTGAGGTAGCAAAAATTCAAGCAAGTGGCGAAGTGGGAAATTCTCCCCGATAAGGAAGGCAAGAGTGTGGGGTTGGGCAGTGCCCTTGCAGTGGGGGTGGGAGGCAGGCTCTGTGGCACCAGGAAAGGCTGCCTTCCAGGTAAAACAGTTAACACAGATCCAGAGAGGAGAGGAGACATCTAAGCTGTGGAGAAAACTGAGAGGCTGGAGCAAGGCCCACCAACCTCCCAACTCTAAGACTCAATCATAAGAATGACAACACTTCCCTTAATTTGCAGATGCAGCTGTTTAAATCAGGACAGCTTTTCCCTGTTGGCACGGAAACACTGTGTGCATCTTTATTAATCTTTACCCACTCTTCCCCTCAAGTTAAAGTTATTCACTCTAAAAAACAAGGGCGAGGTGAACTCAGTATTATTGATTTGTGTGTGGGATGTTTATCTTCACATTCCTTATCTCCAAGATGGTGATTAGCTTGAAATCACCATCTTGGGGGTAAGGAATCTGAGCTACAAAACTCAGATGATTTACTTGAAATTAGCAATATCATCCCATCAGCTTAGGGCCTTCTCTTGGAAATTATGCATTTTGTTCCATTTCTAGATTTTAGAAAAATCTTCACTCAGAAAAAAAAGTACATTTACTGTTCCTACTGACTACTCCTTTAAATTCCCTGGAAGATAAGCATTTTTCAGTTATGAATTAAAATGCCCAGCTAGTGGGTTCGGTGCTGTAGCCAGCACGAACACAATTCAGAACATAAAAGGAATCCTGTTTGAGATTTTATGTTATTATACAATTGAGTAAATATTACCTTTTTTTTTTTTTTAACATATTTATGCCTTGAGGAGAGGCCAAATACATTTATCTTCATTTTACAAGTGAGTAAAGAAAATGGAATGAATTACTAATAATCTCCAAGGGAACTGTCTGATGTTGAATCCACTAAAACACTAAGAAGTTTTGCTTTTCAGAACCTCAAGGAAGGAAAAAAGGCATAAAAACAAAGGAAGTCTTCATAATCCCGGAGGAAAAGGTTGTCTAAGTACTAACCCAACCAGTGAAGTATGAAGTATGAAGAAAGAGCTGTCCATGTCTAATTTCATTGAAATTTTATTGAAATTAGAGACATGATCCTATCTGATTCCTTGATCTGTGACCCATGATCCTATTGGCTTAAGGATCCAAATTAACTTACAACAGGTTTTTTTACCCTTATAAAAATATGAATTAATTATGTGTGGTTATATAAAGATAACTTTTAATATGCTTCTTGCAGATAGGAGTTTTAATATTTCTCACAATTAGGAAAAAAGAGACACACACTCAATCTAATTTCACAAATATGAAGCTTATAAATGTAGAGTCTAGGCCAGACTACATTTAGTAGGAAAGGAAGAGAATATTAAAGAATTAAAGTAGATCAAGTTGTAGCTCATGCTTGAATCATTTTGGAGAATTCTGCTATTGGGGATAATAATCTAAGTAGCCATCAAAAATGAGGAGTAACACATAGTAAGTTGTAACCAGGTTTTCCCAACCAAAGGAAATGTTTAGAAGACATTCTGGAACTCCTAAATACAATATGGCTCAATTTTGGAAAGATTTTTATCATTGGAAAAGAAATTACAATGAACATTTAAAAAAATGTAAACATTCTTTGATCAACGTTAGAATCCAAAATGTAGTAACATACGTAGAAAGAGAAGACCGAACTCAGCAAGTACTGTTCTACAGCCAAAAGAAATAGTAAAAATAAAGTCACAGGCAGTCAGAAAAGTAACTGACATGGAAAATTATTGCATACTGGTACAAGCACACATTCAAATAATTCTCTATTAAGGAAAACAGTGTGTCTGATTTCAGAGACCACAACAGGAGGCAGCATTTTTAGTAATAATAACATTGTATTCTTATTCTCTTCATTCTTTCAAAGACGCACGTTCCTAAATCCTAGAAGGGAAGAAATCCTTCCCATCGTCCTTCTCTTGACATCTTCTAGTTGGACCCGAATTGCTGGTTTCCTGGGGAAACTCTTCTCCAGGTTTTGAAACCACAGAAGCTCCCTCAACTCCATGAACATCACAGTGTAAGCTGCTGCAGAAGGTGGGCCACGGCCTGGCCCCGGGTCAGTTGTGTGCAAAGGGGACCAGCTGGGTGCATGCCCCAGCCTCCAAATAATACGCTGGCAGAGATCAAGCAAGCAGCAAGTCACCAAAACACTTCAAAGAGTCAAGGCGTTCTTGCTTCTTCTCCTAAATACACAGAGGGCTTCCCTCTTTATGTGTTTACGTGATGCCATTCTCTAAACTAGAGGCCAGATCATAACCACGCCTACTCTTCAGTTCTGCACATACACCATATGCATACATTCAACCCCACAGCAATACGGTTTACACACAGACACAAAAATACAATAATCCAGTGCATTCTCAGTTATCTGGACCTCTGGATAATTGAAGGCTAACTCTTTAAAAACACCCCTCCTTCCAGGGCCTCTAAGAGGGCAAAGCTCATTGGTTTCTGACCTCTTCTGTAAAGCTCACTCCCTCCTGCTTGCTGGCTGGGTGCCTCCCAGCTGCTTCTAAGCCCTACCACCTCTTCTCTCTTTTCTCTGATTTCCCAAGAGTTTTCTCTCTCCCTAGCTTTTCCCATGCTTCTCACTTTCACATGAAAACACAGGCCTTTTACAGGCTTCACAGGCCAATCAGATGGCAATCGCAGCACGCCCTGTATAATCTGTGGGTATTCAACTCTGCCCAACCGTGTTCATCAACGTTTTCTCTTCAAGGTTAGAAATGCTTTTTAGCATTATTCTGGAAGCCTGAGGAGAGAAGGAGGTTGATTTCTAGATAATCTATCCTGTAGCAGCATTTCAAGTTCATCTAAATCTATTGTTATAGACATATTAATTGTTACATTCAATATTTGAAAAACAGTATCACCATAAATTGGATCCTTGCTGTCAAATCAATTTTGTATTCATTTATCTTAACTCAAGGAGTAATGCAAAAGTGGACACAAGCACTTGTGCCAAAAAAATGATTCAAAATTTAGCTGACAATTTACAATTTCATAAATTAGTCCAAAATTTAAATCACTGAATAGTACTTACTGTTGCATGATAGTTTCTATACATGGGCATTTTTAGTAACTTTGTCAAGTAATCTTCCAGTTGTTTCTGTAATGCAAATATTTTAGATAAGTGATAACATCATCATACTTACAGAAAAAGTTAAACAGTTAGTGACAATGATGTGATCATTGTTCCATCTTAGCTTCTGTAAGTTACTCAAGTATTTATTAATATTATCACTAGACAGGGAATCCTGAATAGCATTAAGGAGTTATTTCCACAGTTCCCTTGAACGATTATTTAAATCTCTTCTTACCATTTAATTTTTCACATTCTTAGGTTTTTACAAACTGCTGACAAGGTCCAAGCTGTATATTCTTTTAATCTTCCATAGTTACTAGCACAGGACCTGCCCATAGTAGGTGGTTTTAAAGCATTTGCTGATTTTTATCGAAAACCTGAATTTCCTCAATTTTAACACTGAATTTACTGGAAGATATACTACAATTTTTTAACAGCTTTTCAGGGATAAAAGGAGAGAGGCTAAAAAAAAAAAAAGAGACTTTCTAGTAAGTCGTACCCTGATTTCAAAAATGTTAAATGTGGGAGGGGGAATGTCAATCATATTGACTATGATACGCGCTGTTGCAGAAAGTATTAAAGCCATAGTTTATCATTTTCAACTGGACTCATATATGTACACAGTAACCCAAAACTGCAGACTTTTATATGTCTTGGTATGCTGGAAAATATTTATTCTGGACCCCCAAAAAGATTTTAAACAAGGTGATAACTACAAAGGAGAAATCAAGTACCTTCAGAACATAAAAGTTTCAGATTACAAAACAGAACTGATATTTTCTTAATTTTCTAGTAAAAAAAATTAATCTTCCACCCTATGCAGCACCATATCACCGAAGCAGAGCAGGTAGAAGTGTCCTTCCTCCTGAGGTTTCTGTCTTACTGTTGTACATGTCTGTACTCTGTCCCACTCTTCTCAGACCCTAATCACCCCATCTATAGTTTGGGAATGAGACTTTACATTTATTTAGGACAAGCTCCTACAAACATTGAAACAAACATATGCAAATATATGATTTTAAAAAAGCAGATCTCAAAACGCTCAATGACGAGCTCGATCTTGACTCACAAGGAGCCCAAGAAGGGTTCCGGCAGGGAGGATGGCTTCTATAACGTTGCTCCTAACAAAGAACACTCTTCCTCTTCCGGGAAAATGCAACCTCCCCAGGCTCAGAATGGCTTGGGGAAGAAGGGACTGCCTAACTCGTTCCAGAGAAGCTAAACCAGCCTGGGTGATGGATCAGTGGGTGAGAGAAGGTGTAGCCAGGCCCACCTCACCCCTCAGTAGATGCTCTATTTCTACAGTGCTGCAAAATTATGTTCAGAACAACAGAATAGTGAAAGGACTTACCCTTCTACCAAAGAATTGTTCTTCTCTGATCATGTTTTCTGATGAACGGGGCAAACTCGGCATCTCTCGAGGCTCTTCTTTTACATTCTGTCTTCTAAATGTGTGTCTAAAACACATAGACACACACACAGTGCAAACACTTACTATATTATTCTTTGAACCATAACTCTCATAATATCTTTCATAAGATGGCTTATTTTTAGAAGAGTCTATTTAATAGAAAATATCCACCAACAATGGACTAGTTAACCCATAATATGAATGAAATACTCTTTCCACCCAACTTGTATACTGGGATAACTATAATTAATTCTGAAACAGTTACCTCCTGGTGGGAATGGGGATTCGGATAAAGGCTTTGTACTTGAGCAGCTCTCTGTGAAATTCTTGAAAGTGCTTAAATTTCCTCTTAACTTGCCATTTAAATTCCCCATGTGTTAACTCAATAGTGTAAAGATTGGTACTTGGTACCTACAGTGATAAATAAAAATGGTTGTTATTTTAGATAACAACAATAATTCTAAAATCTCTCAATGAACAATAGCTAATTAACAAGTAACACAGAATTACTCTTAAATCCAACCTATTTATTTTGTGTAAGTAGTTAAGCAACATGTTTTCAAAAACAAGTGATTACAGAAATAATATTCTCTTAAATGTTCACCTTATAATATACATAAGACAAACTCTGAATCACACCAAAGACAAACTCCCACAAATTGTATTGTTCCAAACACACACACACACACACACACACACACACACGCACACCTGAAACAAGAAACCAGGTAAAGGAGACAATAAATGAAGGCCCTAATTAGCCATCAGGGGGTTGTCCAAAAGTATAAGCAGTGAACAGAAATTGGAGGGGGTGAGAGGGAAGAAGAAACGGATTCCAGGAGCACCATCTTAGCCCACTTCTTGCCCTTCACAAATGACATTAATGCCTTCTCCTTCTGAAATGCATTCCAAAGTCCATCCCATCTACAACATCTCCCTGCCCTGAAACACCACAAGTGACCAGGATGATTAGAGGGAAAAGAGCAGAAGATCTTCCCACACATAAAGTATTTCCCCCAACTACTTAACCAAAATGAATCTCCATTTAAAATTTTTAAAATATTTCTTATTAAATTGCAAATATGTCTTGGTGACTAGTACATTATTTCAATCAGAAGAGCTAACAGACCTAGTGGATAGGAGTTTTGATATCATAGAAGGTATCAGAAGATGGCGGGATATTTATGAAGCACAAGAGATCTTGAAGGAAGCTACCATGGTGTGTGTTTTGGGAGTGGGTAGCGGTCACTCTGGACCACCTAGAGGACACTAGCCCCTCCCGGGAGATTTAGGCACCATGGGTGTTGGGGGTGGGAGAGAGTAAATGTCTCCTACTCTGATAGTTTATCCAGGCTCTGGTGTCAGCATCCCCATGGGTGATTCTTGGCCTGCTACCATTCATTCCTGACATTTGGCATATTTTGCAAACTTCTAAAGCATGACCACTCTGTGTAGATGTGGTATATAAACACAAGTGTGAGAAGCAATGCAACTTGTGCTCTTAAATCTGGAATATAGCCCTATCCCTGGTAAACATTCAAAATAGCACTTGCTTAGCTTCTAGTTAGGATCCATGATATAGTTACTACAAACAGAAGTTGAAGGAACCCAGTTCTGGGGTTCAATACAGTGATGCATCACTTAATGACAGGGATACATTCTGAGAAATGCATCATTAGGCAATTTCGTCATTATGTGAACATCAGAGAGTGACGTGACACAAACCTAGATGGTATAGCCTACTACACACCTAGGCTACACGGTACCAATCTTATGGGACCACCATCGTACATGTGGTCTGTCGCTGACTGAAACATTGTTATGTGGCACATGACTGTTTAACATGCTGGCCTTTACCTTGGCGAACATTGCAGGCGTCACCCTGCATCATGTTTCACAGAGAAGGATGCAAGAAAACATAGAGTGGCCAGAAACTTTGTATTCAAATGAAAAACACTCAATTTAAGATGAGCCAAATAAACAAGAAAAATTATACAATTCAGGCAAGCTGCCACGTTTCCTAGGATTTTACTTCCCGATCTAAGAAAACTGAATATCTGCAAAATGTTGCAAATGCCAAGTTTTATCCCTCACACATAAATTATAAATTTCTTAGCAATTGCGAGGCAGTATGGTACAACGGGGACATCTTTTTGGAAGGTTCGCAAGGTTTGAAACCCTGTTGTGCAGCCTATCAGCTGTGAAACCTCAGTCAAGCGTCACTTCTGTCAGACAACATCCCAGCAGAATTATTGGAATTCTTTGGAATCGGAATAACTTGAGGGGTTTTAATAAAGGATCCTCCTATGAAGGCGTAATATAGGGGTAAGAGAGGACGGTAACCTGGGACTCGTGAAGCCATGCCTAGTCCTGAGGGGACAGGAGGCGGGACCAGGTGCTGGAACAGGAAGGAGAGAGCCATGTGAAGGGGGCTGCGTTGCGGGGAAGGATGTCGCTGGTCAAGGGACACAGCCGACCCAGGGTGACCCCAGTCTCCTCTCTGGGCTCTCCATTGTCTGAGTCCTACCAGAGGACGGAGGCAAGGGAGCCCCCAGGAGCAGAGAGCAGGGTGGGAGGGTGGGAGGAGGAGCTGCAGGAGCAGGCGGAAGATCTCCAGCCCGGGCGGGCGGGGATAGCATCTGTCTCACCTATTGTCATGAGAGTGAAAAGTCAGTGCCTGCCACAAGCTGGCACATGGAATGCACCCAGTAATCAGAAAAAGGGTCCTTCTCATCTGCCTAGAATCACATTCAAACTGCGTGAATTTAGTTCATCTTTCTTAGGAAACTAAACTAACTCTAAGTAGCATACGGATGCTCCTTAGCTTGCTCACACTGACGAAGATTTAAAACAGAACCAGGGCCAGCCCTGGTGGCCGAGTGGTTAAGTTAGGTGCGCTCTGCTTTGGCGGCCCAGGTCCGGTTCCTGGGCGCCGACCTACACCACTTGTCTGTCAGTAGCCATGCTGTGGCAGCAGCTCACGTCAAAAAATAAAAAGAGGAAGATTGGCAACAGAGGTTAGCTCAGTGTGAATCTTCCTCAGCAAAATAAATAATAAATAAATAAATAAATAAATAAATAAATAAATAAACAGAACTGAACCAAACTCAGTTGACTAACAGAAGAGTATGAGCAAAGAGAAGTTCCTGGTTCAGTGTCTTGAATATTTGTCTTCATGAATAACTTTAGGAGATACCTAATACTAATAATACATAGTATTATACAGTGTCTACTTGTATAATATGACATATAATATACTTATGTAATACAAGTATAATTTTATTTGTTTATTTTTTCCCCCCCAAAGCCCCAGTAGATAGTTGTATGTCATAGCTGCACTTCTTTCTAGTTGCTGCATGTGGGACGCGGCCTCAGCATGGCCGGAGAAGCGGTGCGTCGGTGCACGCCCGGCATCCGAACCCAGGCCACCAGCAGCGGAGCACGTGCACTTAACCGCTAAGCCATGGGGCTGGCCCTGTAATACAAGTATAATACTATGTATTATTACCACTAAATCCTCATAACAAACCTATAAGGTAGGCATTATTGTATCCATTATTCAGATGAGGAAACTGAGAGGTCAGTAACTTGCTGGAAATCACAAAGCAAAGACAGGAATTAAACCATGCAATCTGGCTCTGGAATCAGTGCATTTAACCCCCACGTGTTATCGCCTTTCAATCTAAAAGCTGGCAGGCAAAATAAGAAGGCAAAGGTCATCTTAAAGACGTTTCCAGGCGGTGGTGCTCAGCGGCATATCAGGGAGACGTGGAACCAACTCACAGGAAGAGCCTAAAGGAAAGGCTGGACACCAAGTAGGTCGGGACACAGCACCAGGCAAAACCATCAGGACCAAGGCAGCGAGTGCCACCTTCCAAAAGACGAGGAGGAAGGGAAACAAAGCCTGCCCCAGCTGAAAGGTTATTGTACACTTCCCTGGGCAGGAGCCAACGGCGGCCTTACTCTGCCATGGCCAGAGCTTAACCTGAAGGGACAAAGGCCACCAGCCTGAAGCAAAATTCTCTACCCATCAGACTTGGCAACTGCAAAATCCAGGCAGTAACAGAGCAAACACAGCTACCCTAACAGTTTCTTCTGGTCCAGTCGTTTCAAAGGGTGCAGCTTTGCTTGATGAAAACATTTTATTTGCATTGTCTTTCAGCACTCAAAGAGAAGACACATGGAGGGGGCCTAACAGACAGCTGCTGGGAGCAAATCAGAGAGGCAGGGTGTGCTAGCAGAACCTCCCAGCAGCACTTTTGGGTAACGGTGCTGGCCAATCCAGCATCCTGGCTTTTTTTCTTTCAAGAGCCAGGTAGCATTATTATTTTCTTGCTAAACAGGTATTAGGAAAGCTGAACTTTTCCTTGGCCTAACCTGACATTCTAGGTGGAATGGTGATGCCCCACGAGTCCACATTAAACAGAAAATTGGGGAGAGAGGAAGACTAGGAGAGGCACTTTGCAATTTATTAAACTTAGAAATGGCCTTAAATGCCTTTTTTATTTCTTTATTTTTTTAAATTCTTCCCTTTATTTTATTTTATTTTTTATTTATTTTATTTTAATTTTTGCGAGGAAGATTGGCCATGAGCTAACACCTGCTGCCAATCTTCCTCTTTTTTTGCTGAGGAAGATTGGCCTTGAGCTAACATCCATGCCCATCTTCCTCTATTTTGTATGTGGGTCACCACCACAGTATGTCTTGATGAGTGACGTGTAGGTCCGTGCACAGGATCCGAACCTGCGAACCCTGGGTCGCCAAAGCAGAGCACACGAACTTAACCACCACGCCACTGGGCCAGCCCCAAATGCCTTTTTTAAAGAAAGTATTTTCCAGAATGGGGAAAGACACCTATGAGAAGAAAGACTAAATGTGAAAGAAGCAAAAACTTGAGAGGTGATAAGGACTTGGAAGTGATAAGCAAATAAAAAGTCATAGAAAAACACAGTCATAGTGAGGAGGAAGAAAAATGGAAGTCAATGTGTTAATTCATATATATTGACATATATATGTATTGACAAATTCAAAGTGACTCCACAAACGTTCTGACCCTTGTCGTAGATGTAAAGCGCTCCACTTCCAGAACCCGGGCTTTTATTGGACAGCCAGAGAGATATGTCTGTATATTTGGCTCCTTGAATCCTTGAGTCTTATAAATAACCGAGAAAGGGATATACACTAAAAAATAAATAAATAAAGTTATTGCAAGAATACAATGATATTGCAATGATAATACAATGATATTTCACGAGCATCTTTTTTAAGAATCATTAATGTGCTACAGTGAGAAAACAGCTAATGAAATGGTCTCAGCCCAGTGTTAAGACAACATTGTACAATCAATCATTGACTGGTTATTTCAAATCTGTGCTCTGCCAGGCAACCCTGATCAACTCCCTTCTCTATGCTCAGACCATCAGTCTTTACCTTCCTGTATCTTGGGATCGCCGGGAGACACATCATAATCCACCTCCTCTCCCTCAAAGTGGAGCTCCCGCGTGTCCAGATTCTCTATCAAATTACTCATGTCAGCAGCGATTTTCCTCAGTGCAGAGGTATTTACTCTTGGCTCATTTTTCAGTGACATGTTGGCTTCGGATGGGGTAAAAGCAAAGAGACTGGGAAAGAAGAAAGGGGTCATAAGGACTTATTATTTTGGTCCAATAAAACTCTATTCTACAATTTGAACTCTGGCTTAGATATGGAAACAAGTCAACCAGCTCTGTGTGAGCCCCGGTTATTGTAAACAACCTTTTAACTTACTTTCCTGTTAACATTTAAATGATTCCTAGCTTGTAAATTAAATTGTAGTGAGATACTTAATCGTAAACAAGCAAGAAAATAAAATACCACCTTGAATAAATGCCAACATATCTCTCATCCAATTTTACTAACTTGGATAACTGAGGAGAGACTCAAGGGAGATTGGTTTGGGAATGGTTATTCAGAGAAAAGGAATTGATTCTTTTTTTTTTTTTTTTTTTTTTAAAGATTTTATTTTTTCCCCCCAAAGCCCCAGTAGATAGTTGTATGTCACAGCTGCACATCCTTCTAGTTGCTGTATGTGGGACTCGGCCTCAGGATGGACGGAGAAGTGGTGCCTCGATGCGCACCCGGGATCCGAACCCGGGCCACCAGCATTGCAGCGCGCGCACTTAACCACCAAGCCACAGGGCCGGCCCGGAATTGATTCTTAACTCTAATAAATACATGGAAAGAAAGAATATAATAAAATACGTAACTTTAAATATTCTCTAAAGAAAATTTAGTGCATTTTACAATAATTTCAATATGCAGATTTAAAAATATTTTTATGATAGCATAACCTTTCTACATTCCCTCTTTTGAGATGTGAAGTTTTGCCATGACTTTACATGAGTTATAATGACATACGTGTCTTGAAAGGAAATTGATTAGTATACCTATTCCAAAAGAGACCAGAGGTGTTAGAATTATACTTATCTCCTTTTTAAAGACAACTGGTCCTATTTCATTCCAACATTTAATAACACAAGTCGTTGCACATCAGTACCCAGGAAAGAAGAGTTCATATAGATTTTATTTTTCGTTTAAAATACTGAGATTTAAGCCTTGAGTACTGTCATCAGAGTTGGATGAAAAATCCGTAGTGCCTGAAATAAGCTGCTACAACGAGGCCTTAAAACGGGGGATATTTATACCAGTAACTCCTCCCCACATGTTCATTAATTACTGCAAATCACAAACATTGACTGAGCATCCACCATTCACTCACTGTGAGATGCAGTGAGTGAATACATCAAGACGAATAAGGCTGGCTCCTGTGGTTAAGGGGCACCTGCGGTGGGTGAGGGAAATAAGCTACATAACTCCACGGTCATCCCTGGCCTCCTCCAAAGTCTTGGCCTTCCTGAGAAGGGCATGTGTTGAGTGCAAGACACTTAGCTGGGTTCTCTCCCACAAGTGCTACCAAGAAGCTGAGGGGTATGTGGGAAACGCCAAGAGAGCCTGAGGCAAGCCTGGGCAGCCCTTATTGTAACTCAGTGTCTCTAAAACCTGTACTGCTGTGTCTGATAGAGAGAGATCTTGTTTGGAAATTCAAAGATGGGGGTAGAGGAGAGCGGTTCTGGTTTGGCCAGAGATATATAATTAACATAACTAAGTTCGCTGTGAACTATGCAATCAATCATGTTTCTTTCTTCATGTTGGCTGTAAGGAAGCTTGGAGCCAAATCTGTAGCCTACTATTAGCAAAATATAGGACTATCCTTGCCTATATCACTTCCCTTCAATTTTCTTTCCCACTTCTAATTTATATTATAATAATAGTTAACCTGCACTGATTGCTTAGTATGCACCTGGCTTAGTGATAATCCTTTATACTTGTTATCACACTTATTATCAATAATAAATCTATGAAGCCTTGTTATTTCTATTTTGAAGATGACAAAGGTTTATCATCCCCTCTTTATAGATAAAGAAACGGAGGCATGAAGAGATTTTAGGTAACTTGGACAATCTGTCCAAGGTCACATAGCTAGTTAAGTGGTGGAGAAGAGATTTGAACCCAGGTCTCTCTGACTCAAAAGCCAATGTTCTCAACCACAGTTTTTATCTTACTGTCTATTTTTTATAGATATGTAAGTGCCTCTGGAATAGATGGAAGTTTTCACATAAACAAGTGCCCTGAGGCAAGTCCCTTTAGGAGCTGACTCAAATGGAAAGAATCAGAAATGAATTCCTTTAGCAGCTCAGCACCACAGGATGAAGCCATTTAAACTCTCAGGCCGTGGTTTCCTTCTCTGTAGATTAAGGAGATTGAGCCATTTCATCTCTAGGGTCCCTTTAACACCAACACCCTAACTGTAGCTAAAAGATGCTATAAAATTGTTTAGCCTCCCCTTATAATGAATTAATTTAACTCTAAACGTATCCCAAGAAATTCCCAAGTAGTTTTTTATATGAATATGAGAAGCAGGTGGCAGAATGTTTTCTAACCTGGATAAGATAATCAAGGTCTATTCAGCCACCATTGAGGAGCCATCCATTGCCTCTGGTCACAATCAAAATATTTATTTCCTTCCCTCTCAATTCAACAAACACTTCTTAGCTGTCAACCACGAGCCAGGTTTTGCTTTATTTAAAATACAAGTTAATGAAAAACTTAGAGGAAATGAGACAAGGAAAAACAAGTAAGAAATTACATCATATCATCTTTACTTGTAAATTTGTAAAGCCTTTAGGTATTTTCTACGGTTTAAACAGGCTTATGGTTAACTTTGCCAACTTTCTTAGCATAGCAAAGTTTAACAAAGGTTACTCCAAATGACTTTCTTTTTGGACAGTGTTAATGTTAAAAATGCATGTTAAATTTAAGATATACAGAGACCAAAGTAATCTACATACCATAAGAAAATTGGAATAAATAGTACTGAGTCACTGGATTAAGCTAAAATGAATATCTTATTTCAGATAGAGAGAAAAGAAGCATATAAACTTGAGAAAAACTTAAGGAAGAATGTGAAAAAAACCGAAAGGAATCCTCTTATTTATCCTCAAGTGTTCACTATGTGCTACGCACAATGTTAGCACAGTTATTTAATACTCACAATGATCCTACCTGGTATTTGTGATTATTCTGAAAGATTTAGTTAAGTAACTAAAAGTCCAACTCAACTAAAAGTTAAGTCCAACGTCACTCTCCCTGTGTCAGTGTTTAGCTTATAAAGCAGATTTGTCTGGTTCTGAAATCTCATGAACTTGGTTATAGAGGTTCATATTTATTGATTTTATTTTATGAGCTTGAATGTCTATAAACTTATCTTTTATATGACGTTTCAGTTCCATAACAATAAAAGATGTTCTCTATTTTAACCACCAAACCTTGGAAGGGATCCTACTAGCCCCACAGTCATTACAATTATGAAAACAACATACCCCGACAGCCTCTTAAATTTCTTCTTAGCCTTTTATTTTTATAGTTCATAATATTTTATAAGATCACATGGAATTTCAGTGGACCCAAAGGGTTTGCAGATTTGTTCGTGATTTTGTGAAGACTGTACTATTTAGTAATGGAAAATGAACCAAATGATGTGTCCATCACTGCCTTCACTTATGTTCACGGTTGCTTTGTGTTGACTGTTCATTCAAATTGTATTGCTGGCTTCATCCTTGAATATCAAGCTGTAAGGCCAGCTACACTTCTATGTTGTCAAATCTTCATTTATTAACCCATGTTTTCTTTCATCTAAAATAATCTATAATAGTGGGTGAGACGCTGCCACAGGTATAGCCCATCTTAACCAGCAATGGCATAAGACCTTCAGTGTTCACACTTGAGATAATGTAATTGATTTTGTTACCTCTTTATAAAATTATACTCAAAGATCATTATGTCTTTTGGTACCAAGTAGAGATGGTACCCATGAAGTGATAACAGCAGCTATGTTTTATTTCTGTTTGCATCTGTATCCAGGAAGTAAATAGTGCTTTTTTCTCTCTGGTGTTGAACACTAGAATTAAAAATCTTTGCAGGGAATATTTAATTACCTCCAATTATTTGATGGTGAAATCAGAGAAATCAAGAGTTTTCTTCTGATCTTAATTTTCAACATGATCAGGAAGGAGAACATCAAAAGGAGCAAATATTTTCCTTTCCAGATAAATATTATCAACTATAACAATTAATATTAAAATAAATATTAACATAAGCTAATATTTGCCAAGTATGTACTGTATGCCAGGCACTATATAAGAAGATTAATTGCAGGATCTCACTGAATCCTCACAACAACCTTAGGAGCTGGGTCCCATTGTTACCCCCATTTTTAAGATGAGAAGCTTGGAGAGGGTGGGCAACTTGCCCAGGGTCACATGGCTGGGAAATAATGGAGCTGGACCTGTCCCTGGCTGATCTGACTTCAAAGTCCAGCTACTTAACCAGCCAGAGGTGGGACTGATTAACCAGTCAGGGGTGGCAGGAGGGATGGACACTGGAAGACTTTTACTCCTTACTTTACATACTCTTAGAATAAGACAATTCAAAAAGGAACAACAACAAAAATACCTCAACATTCATTCCATGAAGATAACTGTGATTTACTTCTTGCTTCCCTTTCTAACAAAACATGCAAAGTCCCCCCATATTTTTTCAATACTTTATTCGTACTTACCAAGAGAAATAAATGCAATGGATTTCTAAACCAAAAATCATATCATAATGTATGAATGCGAAATGAATTATAATTAGATCATTTAAAACCAAACTGAGTCATGGGGATTTCCTGTTTTTCCCATTTTTCACTATGATGAAATTAATTGGTGGATCCATACTACATAACCTCCCAGAACACATTATACAGCAATGATTTGTACAGAACTAACATGACGCTTCCTGAAACGCAAAAATCATAAATGTAGACTCAAGACTGAACTCAATCTCTAGTGACATAGTAAGCCTTGGATAAATATGTTTCGAATTTAGCTGACTTTGAATAAAGTAACGTTATTGTCATATTTTACATTCCAGACTATATATTTTGAGAAAATAACACATCAAAAAAACCGACTCTTGATGTTTACATGGATCTTAGAATTTTTTAAAAGGAATATCAGTTCCACAAATGTCAATGGAGGGC